CTGTGTGCCCCTCCCCCTTACCATGATAGACTGTGTGACCCTCCCCCTTACCATGATAGACTCTAGTGCCTCCCCCTTACCATGATAGACTCTAGACCTCCCCCTTACCATGATAGACTGTGTGCCCCTCCTCACCATGATAGACTGTGGGTGATTCTCCCCTTACCATGATAGACTGTGTGACCCCTCCCCTACCATAGATAGACTTCTATGAACTATACTAAAAAAATAAGCAGGTGAGATACAGGTAATAATTCAGGACGATACGGAAGAAAAAATTATTGTAACCGGAAGTATATTTCATTTATTTATTTATTTTATTTATTTATTTATTTATTTTATTTATTTATTATATTTATTTATTATTATATTTATTTATCTTCATCAATTATTTTCGATGAATTAATTACGTTATTGCTGAATTTTTTGGTGTACTAATTCCAAGATGAGAGAGAGAGAGAGAGAGAGAGACATGCACCCCTATTAACTTCGACACCAGAAAAATAAAAAAAACAACAACGAAGAAATATTAAAAAACAATAATAATAATAAATAAAATTGAAACAAAATCTTGAAGTAATAAAAAAAAATTAACGTCAATTAAACACACACATACACACACACACACACACACACACACACACACACACACACACACACACACACACACACAATATCTGTTTATATCGACGTCACACTACGCTCCTGTGCTGTTCGCCTGCTGTTGAACCTGATAAGGATTGTGATGAGATAAGGAGCTGTGGAGAATAGGATTTAGTGGAGAGGAGAAATGGTGAGGGATGCTCGCCTTGGTGGATGCTCGCCTTGGTGGATGCTCGCCTTGGTGGATACTCGCCATGATGGATACTCGCCTTGGTGGATATGAGTGAAAAATTAACTTTTCATTTTGTTAACTGTCCAAATCAACATGATGGATTGAATAAAATTAGTCTGTCAAATTTTCATACCTGCTTAAACCTGTATCTTGACAGTAAAGTTGAACACCCATTTGAACAAACACTTTTCTTCTCTTTCTCGTGTGTACATCATCAGCACCTAATCTAACCATACAGTTTTTTCTCCTATTCGTATATACACATCATTAACAACTATACTTTGTCCTTACTTTCTAAAATGATAAGATTAAAAAAAAAAGATGATTTTATGTTAGTATATACACTTTTCATTCTTATTTAAGTGTTTAAGTCGACAATGAAGTTAGGTGACACACTTTTCATTTTTCTTAAGTGTGTATATCGTTAGTAAATACACCTAATACACCTTTTCATATTCTTGTAAGTAAACGTAAAACTAATCAATGAAAATGAACCACCTACCCTCCCTTCCCTTCCCTTCCCTTCCCTCCCTCACTGTCCTACATGTTAAATGGGAAAGGTGGCTGCATGGCTGGACGGCTTGGTGGGTGGGGTGGATGGGTGGGTGGGTGGGGTGAGTGGGTGGCTCTTCTACCACCCACCCCACACCCCCCTTTACCTTCCGACACATTCACTTCTTCTGGTCTAGTCATATGTCGCTTTACTGTTTCTCACGCTGTTGAAAGACTTACAGTATTTTACCTCAGAGCTGTTATGTTATATTCTTTTTGGTTATGTTTTGGTTAGGTTTAGGTTAGATTACGTTACGTTTAGGTTAGGTTTGGTTTAGATTACGTTATGTTTAGATTAGGTTGGGTTATGATATGTTTAGGTTAGGTTAGGTTAGGTTTGGTTCGCTTAAAATAAGTGTATATACAAAAAAATAAATAAATAAATAAATCAGGAAAAAAAAATTGTTGAGTTTCTTATCAATAAAGAAATAACTTTTTAACTAACTAGAAATATGTACTTAAAAATATATTATTTTTGTGAGTAGAGGTCAAAGATAACTGAGCAGTCGAGATGACCGTTGGTTCTAACGGTGGGGAGAGAGAGAGAGAGAGAGAGAGAGAGAGAGAGAGAGAGAGAGAGAGAGTACCACCCCAGTTGTTGCATATCCCTGTATGTGTGTGTGTGTGTGTGTGTATGTGTGTGTGTGTGTGTGTGTGTGAGCAGCACAAACGTTTTATTGAAGTTAATTACAATATTTTTAATTGGTTATATCATATGAAACCAAACTAGGAAATATAGCGGTGAAATATAATGGTGAAATATTGTGGTGAAATATAGTGGTGAAATATAGTTGTGAAATATAGTTGTGAAATATAGCAGTATAATATAACAGTGAAATATTGTGGTGAAATATAGTTGTGAAATATAGCAGTATAATATAACAGTGAAATATAGTGGTGAAATATAGTGGTGAAATATAGTGGTGAAATATAGTGGTGAAATATAGTGGTGAAATAGTGGTGAAATATACTGGTGAAATATACTGGTGAAATATACTGGTGAAATATACTGGTGAAATATAGTGGTGAAATATACTGGTGAAATATAGCGGTGAAATATAGTGGTGAAATATAGTGGTGAAATATAGTGGTGAAATATAGTGGTGAAATATAGCAGTATATTATAACGGTCAAATTTAGCAGTATAATATAGCAGTGAAATATAGCAGTAATATATAGTGGTAAAATATAATATATGATATGGCAGTATAATATATTAGTGAAATATAGCAGCATAATATAGCAATGAAATATAGCAGTAATATATCGCAGTGAAACATAGCGGCATAATATAGCGGTACGATATAGCGGTAAGGTTAAGTAGGTGTCAGTTCCCACGGTATATCAACATCCTGGTATAACTGTGCGACTGCCTATATGACCTCAGTGGATGACCTTTGACCTATAGACAGATTGACGTTATTATTATTATAATTATTTATTTGTTAGTTACCATTTTTTTAGAATCTTGTATGTATGTATGTATGTATGTATGTATGTATGTATGTATGTATGTATGTATGTATGTATGTATTAAAAGACCGTCAAACATGCGCTCAGAAGGAGAAAAATAGTTAGACAGAAAGTAAACCCAAGGCACAGACAGACAGACAGACAGACAGACAAAGAGACAGACAGACACATCTCACGCCATTTGCCTCCTCATGGTCATAGGTTTTTATCCACTTATCAAAACACTTTCATATCTCCTCCCCCCTTCTCTCCCTCCTCCCCTTCCCTCCCATTTCCCACCCCTCTCCCTACCCTCCTCCTTCCCATCACTCTTCGCACCTCCCCATCACTCTTCGCACCTCCTCACTACCCTACCTCCTCCCCATTACTTTCAGCACCCCTCTATTCCTTTCACCCCATCTCCTCCTCTCCTCCCACCTCCCCATCCCCCACCATCACTTTCAGCATGCCGCTCACCCAAACCACCCCCACCCTTTCTACTCCCCTCCCCACCTCCCCTTTCCCTTCCCCCTCCCTCTTCCTCCACTTCCCCATTTATACATGTCACTATCAGGCATCGCCAAGGGAACTTAACTGCACCTAACTGTACCTCGTTCAAGACCACAGAGCGATGTACCGTTAAGGGAGGGAGAGAGAGAGAGAGAGAGAGAGAGAGAGAGAGAGAGAGAGTAGATCAATTTTGTTGGTAATAATACGACTGAATACTAAAACTACAGCTACCATAACAAACTACCATAACTAACTATTAAGTATCATTAACTACCATATCTTTAGCTGCCGTGTGTGAAGATCCCATAATTGTACTTGCCGTATAATTAGCTTTATGGAATATAGCTTCGATAACTTTACATTAATAACCGTAGCTGACATGCTTTTCCCTTTCATAACAAAGGTACTATGCTTTTTAGCTTATTTAAGGTTAGCTGTCAGAGTCTTAACTTTCATTACTTCAAGCTGATTTAAGATTAACTGTCATAGTTTTAGCTTACATAACTTAGCTTATGTGGCTTTAGCTTTGGGCACTGTGGTCTGGTTCTCACGCTAAGAGTAGCTGTGATGGGAAATGTGGTGAGGGAAGGAGGGAGGTGAGGGAAGGAGGGAGGGAGGAGGGAGGGGAGGGAAGGAGGGAAGGAGGAAGGAGGGAAGGAGGGAGGGAGGGAGGGAGGAGGGAGGGAAGGAAGGAGGGAGGGGGAGGGAGGGAGGGAGGGAGGTGAGGAAGGAGGGAAGGAAGGAAGGAGGGAGGAGGGAGGAGGAGGAAGGAGGGGAAGGAGGGAGGGGAGGGAGGGAGGGAGGGAAGGAGGAGGGAGGGAAGGAGGAGGAGGAGGAGGAGGGAGGGAGGGAGGGAGGAGGGAAGGAGGGAGGGAAGGGAGGGAGGGAGGAGGGAGGGAGGGAGGGAGAGAGAGAGGGAGGGGAGGGAGGGGAGGTGAGGAAGGAGGAAGGAGGGAAGGAGGGAGGGAGGGGAGGAAGGGAGGAGGGAGGAGGGAGGAGGGGGAGGGAGGTTAGGGGAAGGAGGGAAGGAGGAAGGAGGGGGAAGGAGAGGGAGGAGGGAGGGAGGGAGGAGGGAGGGAGGGAGGGGAGGTGGGGAAGGAGGGAGGGATGGGAGGGAGGGAGGGAGGTGAGGGAAGGAGGGAGGGAGGGAGGGAGGGATGGAGGGAGGGAGGGAGGAAGAGTGAGAGTATTGAAAGCGAAAGGAATTGGGAGTAAGATTGTTGTTGTTGTTGTTGTTGTTGTTGTTGTTGGTAGTAGTAGTATCTTTATTATTAGTGTTATTTTTATACGTTTTACCTTCACGATTACCTATTTTTAGAGGAAACTTTCACTTCGATAATGTTACAGAATATATGAAGCTGAATGTTTTATCTCTGCTAAAAAAAAAACTACAGATGTTAGTATGCAAATTAGGTTGATCTGGAAACATAAACAGACTGACACGAACAAGCGTAGATTTCAGAGGGAAGCTGGGCCTAATGATGGGGGCTGACTTGTCGTTCTTTATCCCTTTCTCCTGCTGGGTAATTGAGAAATGAGGGGTTCCTGACGACGGGGCGGGGCCTGACGGGGGTGGGGCGGGGCTGGGACGAGGTGAAGGGGTCATGGGGGGAGGTCGGCCCTCTCACTGTTACGCCATGTATATATAAGCTGCCGACACAACCTCCACCACATAACCACTCACTGTTGTAGCCTTTCACCACTACTACTACCAATACCACCAGCATGAAGTTTGTGAGTATTAGGAGGATTATAGCTGTTGAGAGAGAGAGAGAGAGAGAGAGAGAGAGAGAGAGAGAGAGAGAGAGTCTGGCACTTCATCACCTTATCACCTCCCAGGTCGTGTTAGCCGCCCTGGTCGCCGTCGCCGCCTGCGCCAAGCTACCTGGAGGACAGGAGGAATTTGTAGAGCATCATCAAGAAATTTTTCCACAGCGGCCACAGTTCGCCATCATCCGCGACGACCGCTTGGCGCCAGAGGGAGCCTTTTACAACACCGACGTAGAGACTGAGAACGGCATCATCTTCAGCGAGAACGGCCATGAGGGCTCCCTTGGCCAGAGCAACGCCGAGGGCTCCGTCTCGTAAGTAGAGGACGCTCCTGTATCTGGCTTTGTGAGTAGAGAACACGCCTATATCTGGCTTTGTGAGTAGAGAACACTCCTATATTTGGCTCTGTGAGTAGAGAACACTCCTATATCTGGCTCTATTGTCTTGTTCCACTCTAACCCATGCTCTATATATTGTTCTGTTGACCATATATATTTTATCCCTCTATCCATATTATATCCATCGATTAATATTCTACCTATCTATTCACATTTTTCTCTACCCATTACTACTGTATCGGTCTATCTCTCCACAAGCTATTTATTTAACCACATTTATCTATGTATTTAATCTATGCCAGAATATTTATCCACATTATATCTATCTATTCATTCTATAACATTCTATCTAATTATCTCACTCCGTCTCTCTCTCTCCCTCTTTATCTCCAGGTACACTTCTCCAGAGGGTGATCTGATCGAAGTTACCTACGTTGCTGATGAGCTGGGATTCCGAGCCGTTGGTGCTCACATCCCCACTCCTCCTCCTCTCCCCGCTCACGTTTACGAACTCCTCCGCATCGCCGAGGAGCAGAGGGCCGCAGGCATCACCTTCGAATAAGACGGACGGCGATGACGAGCGGAGTACCCAAGGACGATGATCCCAAGTTATTTAGGGAGGGGTCGTGAAGGGCTCCTTTGAGGGTCATTTCGACGTCGATACGAGGTTACCTTTATTCGACATCATCCAAGGGATATCTAGATGTTTCTTGAAGTCATCCTTTAGAGGGTTAGAGAGAGGTCTTTTCAAAGGGTCATGTGAGGAGAGTTCAAATTTAGGTATGAATGTTATGAAGTGTCACCTGTATAAGGGACACCTGAGTGGCAACTGAATGAGTGTCACTTGAATGAAAAGATCTACTGAATGATTGCCACTTGAGTGTCTTCAGCCGTTAAGTCTCCATTCCACGGTGTCAGAAGTAACAACCTTTGACACCGTGTAGCATGTGACCCTTGACCAGACCAGATATAAGATCCTTCACAATGGACATTCCTCTTCTAGTCTACGGCGACACACACACACTTTTTTATATTTACACCACAAATTTTCTTAACGATTAACTAAAAATAAAGAACATAAACATTAACCTTATTATTCTTCAACCTATTATAATGAATGACATTAACCACCAGAATGTGAGAAACAAAAAAGAGCTGAAAACAGGTTGAAAACATGTATAATACGTGTTTATAAATGGTTAAAACTAGTTCATAGTAAGTTTAAAACATGTATAAGACGAGTTTAGAAGTTAAATCAGTCTCAGGTTCCATACAGGTTGAGAACAAATTAAAGAAAAATAACATTGAAGACTGGTATAAAACAAGTTCGAAATAAGTTCAACAAGAATATAAATAGGAAAATAATGAAAGAATAATTCAAGACAGGTTCAAAACGGGTTCGGAACATGTTCAAATTACTCTGATAGAAAAACAAAACACGTTTCTTTTTTTTCAAATTAGTTTCAAAATAGGTTCCAACGAAGCTTGAAACAAGTACGAAACAGGTGCAAATCAGGTTCAAAACAAGGCTCTACTGGCTGGTAAAACCGGGAGGACTGACCATGACATAGAGGAAGAGAAGAGAGTAAGATCGATAAAGATAAGAGAAGGAGGAAGAAGAATTGAAGGAGGGGGAGAAGGAGAAGGAGGAGGAGGAGGAGGAGGAGGCGAAGAAGGAGAAGCAGGGGGAGAAGAGGGAGAAAGAGGAGGAAAAAGAGGGAGAAAGAGGAGGAAGAAGGAGGGGAAGGGAAAGAAGGAGAAAGGGGAGGAGGAGAAGGAGAAAGAAGATGCGGAGAAGGAGAAAAAGAGGAGGAGAAGAAGGAGAAGAACAAGCTAGAAGGTGAATTATACAAAAATAAGAGAAAATAATGATGAGACAAAAAGAAATGGAAGAATAGAATGACATCAACATCACAAAAATAGAATAAAATTGATGACCATTACCACTTAAAGAGTCATCAATTGTATATACCCTTGAGAGGAATTGATGACCATTACCACTTAAAGAGTCATCAATTGTATATACCCTTGAGAGGAATTGATGACCATTACCACTTAAAGAGTCATCAATTGTATATACCCTTGAGAGGAATTGATGACCATTACCACTTAAAGAGTCATCAATTGTATATACCCTTGAGAGGAATTGATGACCATTACCACAGTCATCATTGTATATACCCTTGAGAGGAATTGATGACCATTACCACTTAAAGAGTCATCAATTGTATATACCCTTGAGAGGAATTGATGACCATTACCACTTAAAGAGTCATCAATTGTATATACCCTTTACCACTTAAAGAGTCATCAATTGTATATACCCATGAGAGGAATTGATGACCATTACCACTTAAAGAGTCATCAATTGTATATACCCATGAGAGGAATTGATGACCATTACCACTTAAAGAGTCATCAATTGTATATACCCTTGAGAGGAATTGATGACCTTCCATTTTGTTTCAGTCAGTGATGAACAAATAAAATGAATGAAGTGTTTTGAGAAAGTGTTCACCAAGCGTGTATATAAATGCTTTCCTAATGACTCCTTGGATATATATTGGATACATCATGTTATAGGCCTATGGATATTCACGCTGATTAAAACTTTATAAAACAAGTGATGATTTTTTTTGTGACTTAAGGATAATTTATAGTTTATATTGTGTTATCTTAATGAATATAAATCTATATATATATATATATATATATATTAATATTTGCCTTTTTTATATCTACTCAAGATGAAGTTTACCATTATTAGATAGCCTATTTATACTTTAAGTTGGTTAGGTTAGGTTAGATTAGGATAGGCTAGGATAGGTTAGGTTATGTTAGGTTAGGTGGGGTGATGTGAGGTTGTTTATTATTATTATTATTATTATTATTATTATTATTATTATTATTATTATTATTATTATTATTATTATTATTATTATTATTATTATTATTATTATTATTATTATTATTATTATTATTATTATTATTATTATTATTATTATTATTATTATTATTATTATTATTATTATTATTATTATTATTATTATTATTATTATTATCACAGAAGATGGAGTGCTTAAGCCGTAGACTACCGTACCAAACCGTAAACGACTCCACTAATGATCGTAATTGAAATACAACACAGGTACTGTTAATGGTTCAGGTGCAAGTAGAAGTAGAGGAGCAAGTATAGGTGGAGGAACAGGTACAGGCAGAGGAACAAGTACAGGTAGAGGAACAAGTACAGGTAGAGGAACAAGTACAGGTAGAGGAACAAGTACAGGTAGAGGAACAAGTACAAGTAGAGGAACAGGTAGAGGTAGAATAACAAGTACAGGTAGAGGAACAAGTACAGGCGGAGGAACAAGTACAGGTAGAGGAACAAGTACAGGTAGAGGAACAAGTACAAGTAGAGGAACAGGTAGAGGTAGAATAACAAGTAAAGGTAGAGGTAGAGGAACAAGTACAGGTAGAGGAACAAGTAGATATAAGAACCTTTGAGAATCCGTCTTTGTGTCGTAAAAGTGAGAAAATCACTTTGGAAATACGACCTTTTGGGAATGCCTTTAGTGGTGTATCCGTATGGGTGACAATTAACCCCTCCCTGACCCTCCCTGACCCTCCCTGACCCTGACCTTTAAGGAGTCATAAAACGGCTAAACGTTGGTAAACTCTCGCCTTGTGATGTATGACCTCATGCGACCAGGTATTGTTTGAGGCTGGTCATTTGAGGTCATTATTTTACTGTTGGTTCATGTCCTGCTAGTCTTCTTCTTATCTGATGTATGTATGTATGTATATATGTATGTATGTATATATGTATGTATGTATATATGTATGTATGTGGATAAAAGTACACTGTATACTGAGCCTTCGGTACACCAGGAAGCATCATTGGCCGGTACTTCCCCATCTTAGGTAACCATTTACAGCTGGGTTAGCTTGGACTGTCCGGGGGTCGAACCAACGATCTTTAGAACAGGAGGCGAACAGTACATCCATTCGACTGCCCGCTCGTTTGATAAAAGTCATCACCAATTAAGCTTTAAAACGAAACTGATATTTTTTACAGATAGATAATATTTTATTTTTTGGGCGCTACAATTTGTTCTGTTTTATTAAAGGCGTTTTTTACCATTATAAGGAAGCCTAACTATACCAAAATGTACATTATTACGATGGTGTGTGTGTGTGTGTGTGTGTGTGTGTGTGTGTGTGTGTGTGTGTGTGTGTGTGTGTGTGTGTGTGTATGTGTGTGTGTTCAGATATTGTCTTAGTCGTAAGTGGTGATCGGAGGTTCCGACCACCACCTCCCTCCTTCCTTCCCACCTTTCCCACTTGACTCCCTCCACCTTCCTCCCCCTCCTTCCCTCCACTCACTCCCTCCCTCCCTTCCTTCTTCTCTCCATTCCCTCCCTCCTTCCCTCCTTCCTTTCCTTCTTTCCTCCTTTCCCCACTAGTCTCCCTCCACCCCCCCAACTTGTCTCACCAAGGTTACCCACTTCTCACCTGGGTCCAGACACACCCTCCACCCTCCACCCCCTCCACCTTCTACCCTCCACCCTCAGAAGGATAGCCCGTATCCTCTTCCCTCCACACACCTCCTACAACACCACCTGGCCATTTAGACCACCCAGGTATAGTGCCAGGTATTTCTAAGGCATACAGCACAGTACCACTTACCACGTCAACCCCCTCTCTTCCCCACACACACTCAACCCACAAACACCAACCCACACACACTCTACCCACACCAACCCCACACACACACACTCAACACACACACACTTAATCCACAACTGTTTAACTCCCAAATCACTCTCTTGGATGGACGACCTGCATTCAACCTATCGTGAGAAGCAGAGTGAGAGAGAGAGAGAGAGAGAGAGAGAGAGAGAGAGAGAGAGAGAGAGAGTTCACCGCTGAAGATGAGACCGGTCTGGACAGGCACAAGCCAAGGGTGGGTAGGTAAGGCGCGGAGAGGGGGTGGGGGGTGCGGGGGTGTCAGGACGTGGAGAAGGGGGGGGTTATGGGAGGTGTTTTTTGGGGGAATTGAGCGGAGCTGGTCACCTCCCCGACAGACTAAACGAGGATCACTTCACTCTTCGTTGCCAAGGGCTTCTTCCTGGTGAGGGGTGTGGTGGGGTGTGGTGGTGGTGGGGGGGTGAGGGGGTGACGTGGTGGTGGAGGTAGGGGTGTGTGTGGTGTGAGGTGGTGGTGGTGGTGGGGGTGTGGTGGTGGTGAGGTGTGTGTGTTGGTGGGGGGTGTGAGTGGTGGGGGTGTGGTGGGGTGGGGTGTGGTGGTGGGGGTGAGGTGGTGTGTGTGTGTGTGTGTGTGTGTGTGTGTGTGTGTGTGTGTGTGTGTGTGTGTGTGTTCTGTGGATTTTTCAAACTTTCCGGTGAAACTATTAATAATTTTTACAGAAGCCCTTAAATATAAGTTTGTTCAAATTTTTAAAAATAATTTATTAATTAATTTTTATATAACAAAATTAAATAATGTCTTTATCCATATTCCAAGAAAATGACTGAGTCTTTGTCCTAATTAGCCCTAGTCCTAATAGGCCCCAGTGTAATAGGCCCCAGTCAAAAATAGGCCCCAGTCAAAAATAGGCCCCAGTCAAAAATAGGCCCCAGTCAAAAATAGGCCCCAGTCAAAAATAGGCCCCAGTCAAAAATAGGCCCCAGTCAAAAATAGGCCCCAGACAAAAATAGGCCCCAGTCAAAAATAGGCCCCAGTCAAAAATAGGCCCCAGTCAAAAATAGGTCCCAGTCTAATAAGCCCCAGTCAAAAATAGGCCCCAGTCTAATAGGCCCTAATCCTAATAAACTCGAATCTAACCTCACCTCACCATTATCACCATTTAAAACCAGATTCATGTACATAAAATTTCAATAAAAATAAAAATAAACTTATCATACCTTATAAAATTTCAAAATCACCACAGAAATGTCCCTCTGAAATTACCACCACTGTAAATTACGTCCTTATTTCACGGAAAGGTTCTTAATAAACTCCAATGCCTCACCTGTCGAAATTAATTACCTTCAAGAATAAACATAACCTTTTTATTAATTATTTCTTC